CCAAACCATGAATTAAATTTTTTCTAACATATATCTAAATTAAGAGAAAATGAATAACTTTAAAGTCATCATAGTTTTTTTTTTTACTTTCTACTTCTATTTTAGTTAATGTTAATTTAACTTTCAAACTAAAAAATGGGAGATATTCATTTAGAGTCTCATCTCATTTCTAATGCTATATACTTAAAACTTAGATTTCAATTTTGTGTTCCCTCTAATTTTTCAGAAGCTTATGAAAACTGCTTGGAAGAAAGCTCAGTTTTGTTACGTAGTATAGGTTTAATTGGAGGTGCAGGCACAGATGATAAAAGTTTCATTGTGTTGCACTACCATTTGGCATCTTATTAGAAGAACCATCTGTGCTTTTAATTACTTTTAACTCAGTTCAGATTGCAATAGCAGAAAAAGAAGAAAAAGCCTTAAGATACATATTTTTTTCTTTTTTAAAACTTTTAAAAATTTTAATTGACTCATAACGGTTGTACATATATATGGGGTACAATGTGGTATGTGGATACCTGTACACAATGTGCAAGGATCAAATCAAGGTAATTAGCATGCCCATCACCTTAAACATTTGTCATTTCTTTGTGTTGGGAACATTCAACTTCCTCTCTTCTAGGTATTTGAAATTATACAATAAATTGTTAACTATTGTCACCCTACGGTGCTATCGAACACTAAAACTTATTCTTCCTTTCTAGCAGTATTTTTATATCCCTTAACCAACCTTTCCCTGCCTCCTCCTTCCTCTTCCCCTTCCTAGCCTCTGGTAACTACTATTTTACTCCCAATTTCTAAGCAAAATATCAGATGTACTTTTAAAACCTTCCTGAGTATAGGATTGCCCTTATCGAAGATCTAACAGCCCAGATACACAGTCAAAAGCCAGATAAGACACTGAAAGAATAATTAACATCAAAATCTTAAAACGTGCTCATTTTCGTATAACATTATTGTCATTCATGGAGGGTGAAAAAAACTACTCTTTTTATGTATTATACATGAGAAAATATCATGCTGAAATCTCAAAAGAGGTATTTTAGCTTTTTTTTTTTTTTTTTACCCAGACCTAGAAAGAGATGTTTTGAATACAAGCAATGATAGACTCACCTCTTTAAATATTTTTGGATAGCATAGCCAAGTACTGTCCTACATAATGGAGATGAAAAGTTGAACATGACGAAACAAGTTTTTGCTGTTCTAGTCAGAGGAGAGAAGTGTTAAATCAATCTCTTACACGTGCACAAGAGAACTTCACACTGAGATGTAATAGAACCACATCCCTGATCATGAGTGACTATGGGTGTGGTTAACATGGACTAATATTGCTAGAAATTTAACTTAGGAACTGACACTGATGAGGAGGACGAGTCAGCCAGGTAGATCTTGGCTCCGAGTCCCCAGGCAGAGCAATGAAGAGAAGGGCTGTGTGGCCGGGCATGGTGGGCAACGGAGGGCATAGACGAGAGGCTTGTAAAGATGCAGTCACAGCCCACACCATTGAAGGCCACGTAGTGATTTGGCCTAGTGGGACTCCACCAGACACTAAAGATCTAAATGGTTTATCTTGCTAAGCGGTGGTGGATGTTGAGCCGAGACTAGGTAGTAGAGGAGCAGGAGTGGATACAGGTGCTAGAAAGCTGGAGCCCCTGGACTTGAGACGTGCAGCGTAGAGGGAGGGAAGTGGATGGATGCAGAATGTGTTTTGGAGATGGGAGCAGGAAGGACTTGCTGTTGGATGAATCATTCGGTGTCGTTCAATTGACTCTGACTTGCAGTGTGTTTAACGTGACAAAAAATATGAACTATATTCTGGGAATGTTTTCATTTAAAATGCTAATTGTTTTTCAAGTAAAATAAAGTTACCCATAAAATTTTGGCCTTGTTGTATCTTACAGTTGTATGTTACCAGACAGTTCCGAGTAGTCAAGGGGTGTGTGTGTGTGTGTGTGTATGTGTGTGTGTGTGTGTGTGATAGGGAGAGAGAAAAAAAAACAGACACAGGGAGAGACAGAGACAGAGAAACAGAAAGAAAATAATTTGTCTTTGCCTTGTACTGATACCAATAATTTGTATTTTAACATTTGCCTATTTTATTTTATTTTTTATTATACATACATGTGGGGTACAACGTTAATTTTCAATAATTGTGTACAATGTGTGGTGGTTAGATCAGTATAGTTAGCTTATTCGTCATTACAACAGGCAATCATTCTTCGTGTCCATTAACCAATTCCTCATTAGCCCACCCCCCCACTCTCCCCTTTTCCACCTCTAGTTTTCTAAAAGTTCAATGTATTACTGTGATTGTTGTTTCTTTCTTTCTTTCTCTCTGTCTCTCTTTATTGTTCATTTGTTTATTTATGGATTCAGCTCCTGGTTATGAGTGAGAACATGAGTATAGCAAGAAATACCACATTTGCCTATTTTAACAGAAGCACATTATTTAATCCCATTTAAGGACAAACCAGTTATTCCATATGACACAAAAAACTATGCTGATGTAAGGCAACAAGCGGGGTGCAGTGGCTAGTTAGGGAGGATGAAAGTGATTCCTTGTTACCAGGGAGCCCAGACATTAGGCTCTTTGGTGACCTCGCTCTGCCCTCGTGGTCCCCTGAGCATTCCACGCACCTCTGAAGTTGAGACTGTACCCAAGGACCTTGGCTTTCATTTCCATCTCAAAATTAAAATCTACTCTTCAGCTGTCTTTGATGTTTTAAAATGTTGATCAGTTTCAAAGTGAGTTTCAATGAGAAATGAGGAGCTGGGTGGAGATAGGTCAAATTAATAAAAAGACTAGGTCAACATCAACTCCTTCTCCTGCCCGGGAACATTTCAGAAAATATGTTAAACAATAAATTCTTCAATTTCTTAGGAAATGACATGTGTTAAAAGAATCTTCTTTAGCAAGCTAAGTAAGCAAGTAAAAACATCAGATATTCCAGGAGCAAAGTGAGTGATTAAGTTAAATGTGTCTAGAGACTAGAGCCCTCTCAGGAATCACAGGGTCACAAATGCATGCGGCCACCGCCCACTTACATTCTGCCACCGCTGATTGCAAATCCTAATGAAAATACTTCATGCGAGGAAGGTGATAGGAATTACATACATTACCTTTTTTGTCCTTCCTTCCTGTCTATCATGCTGTACTTTAAAGGAACTGGTTATTAAAGTACTATATAAGTGCACAAAATATATTGAAAGAGAAAAAAAATGTTTCAGTCATACACAATATATAGGCAAGAATATATATGTCATATGTCATGTGATGACACATGACAGGTGGTAAAGGTATCTTTAGTTGCTTTCTTTTGGGGGGAGGATAAAGGAAAATTATCTAGAATATACAGTATTAGAAGATTTTTCAGCTTTTCTAATATTTAGCATATCAATGGCATATTGTAAAATAAGTATCTAAGTGGAATTGTTTTAAAAGTTAATTTAAATATTATTTCAAAGGTATTTTACACTATTTTTAATAATTAATTTGCATCTTTTTTGAAAACTTATGGTAGTTCAGTATTTGTTTTATTTTTTATGGTCTTCTTCAGGTCCATGTTCTTTTGAATTTCTCTTGTCTTGCATAAGACATCATAAGCCATTTTTATTTTATCTGAGCAAGTGACCTCTGAATAAAGTGTAATCCTTAATACTTGAGGCCTAAAAAAGACTCCTGGCTATTCTGATTAAAATAAACCAAAGGAAGTTTCAATTGAACCTAAGAAAAACAAACAATAAAAGCAAGTGATTTTTTGGCATTTTAGTCATCTCCCAAATACACAAATTCCATTATCTTTCAAGTGGAATCGCATCACCAGCAGAAATAACCCATAGAAGAGTCCAGCAAAGGGAGGAAAAGTACTGACCCATCCACCATCAAGGTGTACAGCTCACTTTGAGGTGTGATTTTGTGCCTTAATTTGTTTTACTATCCAATTAAAATTGAACAGTGAAAATTGTCTTTAGAAGTTTACATTTTCTTTCTTTTTTTTTTTTTTTTTGTCTTTGTTTTGTGACCGGTAAGGGGATCGCAACCCTTGGCTTGGTGTCGCCCGCACCACGCTCAGCCAGTGAGCACATCGGCCATTCCTATATAGGATCCGAACCCGTGGCGGGAGCATCGCTGCACTCCCAGCGCTGCACTCTCCCGAGTGCGCCATGGGGTCGGCCCAGAAGTTTACATTTTCAAAGGAAAAAAATCCTCACTTTTCTTATACTAACACAGGTATTTGATTCCAGTTTTGGCCATTTAGGTACAACTAGAGTCATGCAGGTAAAAATCACAGGTCACAGAGAGGACATTGTTCTGTGCTGATATGAAGGAGGAATAGCTGAGAAGTGAATTTTGAATTTTTCATGAAATGAAAAATGAATTTTTCTCCCCGAGGTGAAAATAGTTATTGTCAGTTATTTGAGTAGTCACTTTAAAAATTAGTGATTAAAAATTACCAGTAGAGTACTCTAAAACACCGAACATGGGAAGAATTGATCTTTACTCCGTGTATAATGATAAATGTTTGTTGTTATTGTAAAGAAATGAGACATATTTCCTAGGAAGTTTGTGGAATATTTTATTGCTTTATAGCCTAACATTTTTTGTGCGTTTACTGAAATACTTCAAACTGAGGCTAAAGTTCATACTTTCATGAGGTAAAAATTTGCATCAAAAACATAATACTGCCTTAACTTGTTACTTTCTCAGAGAAAGATGATGATCCAAGAAATCTGCTAAATTAGCTACATACCAATTATACTCCAACTCCGATGCTATAAAATAACTATATGACTTAAAAAATTAATTCATGAGATTAGATTTGCTAAGTATATATTGATTGTGTAACTTCCTTACTAAAAACTCCTAATTTAGGCTAGTGGAAAACTTAAAACAGCTTGGACCCTGAAGTAACACCCACAAAAGCATTCAAGGATGTGGTTTAAGTGGTCAGGATGTTTTTGTTCTGTTTTAATCACACGATCATCTTCATCTGTTTAAGGATCTAGATTCCTCATCACGTCCACGGGAGCCTTGTACATTAAAGACGTACAGAATGAGGACGGGTTGTATAACTACCGCTGTGTCACGCGGCACCGGTACACGGGGGAGACCAGGCAGAGCAACAGTGCCAGACTTTTTGTGTCAGGTAAGCGTTTGTGGAGACCGCGGCTGCTGTTTCTGCTGTCTTTTTGTTTGTGTCCTGGGATGACTCCAGCCACACTGTAGAATTTGTGACTGAAATGTTTTTTTTGTTTTGTTTTGTTTCTAAAATATTTTAGCAATTTTAAAAGTCTTTTAAACCGCTGTCATTACAATGTAATACAAACACAGATATTCCAAGTGACGTCCTTTCACATCTGTCAAACAAATACGCCATCCATTTGCAGGGGTGATGTTAACACCTCAGGGTGTAGTGTAGCAGTGTGAAATCACAGTGATGGAAAAACAAATGCAGAATACCTGACTGTTGCCTTTGTCGCTTGAGAATGTGAAATTGCTCCATGTGGTGAATGTCCTTTATGGTTATAGACATGAGATGGAATTGACCAAAGGTTGTTTGCTATTGACACTTGAGGAATATCTTATTTTATTTGTAGTGATGCTTTATGGGGAAGAAGAAATGGAAACTAGTTAAACATTGGAAAATTAGAAACATGGTTGCCTGAACAACCATTGTCCTTGGTAATACCCTGTGGGGATTTCTCTTCCCAATTCACATCCTTGAAATAACCAAAGCCAGCCTATCTTCGAGGTCCAGCACAAATACAAGTCAGAAATAAACGTTACTTCCTCTGAGCTCACAAATATTTTTTCTTTACCTGTTCTCTTCCATGTCAATTGTTATTTCCTCCCTTGTTTTATAATTACTACGTCTTGTTGGGAAAAATTAATTAGAAAATAAATGACATCTGTCACCATAGTCCATGGTGGCTTTAATGACAGCACAAGTTCTTTTTCCAAAGATCCTAGAAAAGGTCTTGTTTGCATGGATGAGAAACTTCCTAATGACAATGTTGAGGCATTGAATTTGAGGAGGGGGATCTTGGATTAAGATTAACTAGGGTTAGCAAAGCATGTAAATAAGCTTTCTCCATCCTGAAGATGAATGAAGTGACGAGATCTAGATGCTCATCTCTCTTCAGGTGACCTTGTTTATTATCTTTCCTCTAAATCAGGAAGTTCTGGTTTTCAAATTTAACTCTCAGAGTTGGAAAGGCAAATTTATTTTTCCTAACCTCAAGTTGTTTGTTAGTTTTTGTTCTGGAATGATTTGCTGGTGTTTCAAAAATGGGCAGCAGTAGTCATGAGCATTTGGTGACCCTGAGATTGCGTGGTGAGTGCTTGAGAAGAGAGAAGTGAGCATCACAGCGTAATCGGTGCACGGATGTCATGCACTAAGACCCTGGCAGAGGAGGAGCCGAGAAGCAAGCTGAACACTTGGGGCCAAAAGTGTCAGTGAGGACAGTGAGGGACATGATAGCTGCAAGGAGAGGGGAGGTCCACAGAGTCACATGTCTTCAAAAACCTCATATGAGGGTCTACTATATGTGGCAGATAACTCACGACTTTGGCCACAGAAATTTTAATACAGTAGTGGAGAGAAAAACTTAATGCTAAAGATGAGAACATAGGCACTGAGTGCAGACTACTATTCCAAAATGCTAAGCTATGAAGGAAAAGAGAAATAAATTTTGTTTTAAATTAGATTTTAATTTATTTAAAAAATGGACATATGGCATTTTGGTCATGGTGGAGGCATGTTAGAAGCAAGGTTTTTAATGACTCCAAACTCCTTCTGGAACTAAAACAGATAACGTAAGATGGCAAAAGCAAAAGCACATGGATGATATCTTCAACATGACCAGGTGATGGGGAGTCCCCAGAAATGCTAGAAGAGAGGTGAATGTGCACAGGCTACTGACAACAACAGAGCCAGGTGGAACAACAGCGGGATGGGTGGTGAAAGGACAGGCCACTGGAGCTATGATGCAGTTGCAGAACTGCAAAATAAGGAAGTACTCACCTCCAAGAGCAGAGGAGCTGACGCCTTCTTTGTGTTACATTCTCCAACTCTAGTCCGACCGCCTACTGTGAGCTAAATGACAGATTTTGCAACTCCTTTTTCATACAATTTTGTATCTCCATTCTTCTATTCTAGTGTAACTAAAATCTGTGTTTCTCAAGAGCAAGAGTTATTATTGTATCCCCATGTTTCTTAAATAAATGAAGGCAGATTTTGGAATGATATTAGAGAACTTTACTCCAGGTAATACTCATAGATATATTTGGGATACAATTTCTACTTACTATAAACACTATTCCCACATTATTTCTATTGTCTGACAGTCAATGTACTGGGAGGTGATAAAACCACACGTGGTCAAGGATGTTCAAAATCATTTTTGGAGTTAGCTCCAGGGACATCCTTGTTTCTTTTAGCTCATGGTACTCACTGGGGTGTGCAGGTAATGAAACTTTCAGAAAAATGGGTGCACCAGCAAGCCATTTTTCCATATTCTCAGTTGGGACTTGAACATGCCAGGGGTTGGAGAGATGTATTTTTAGGACCGTCTCTTCTTAACTGTTCAGTCCATAAGAAAATAACTTGTTCTTCAAAGCAACACTTCCCAGAGTCTTTCTGTAATTTCCTTTAGAAGGAGGTGGAATGAAGCAATGACACCTTTGCTGGCACGGTCTCTGTCCCTGGTATGGTGAAGCTTTTATATCTCGATCTCCCTCTGGAGCCACAGCCAAACATGTGAATGAATATAATTATGGAATATAGAATTCTTTGGTTAATGAATGACATTTCAGAAGAGTCCTGGAAACTCAGTCATGTATTCTTTAGGAGATTATTTAGTTTTCCTTATCGTGTGACATTCACATTGTTCTCATAAGGCACCAGCAAAGTTCACAGAGCAGCAAGTTTGCAATGGATCTCTGATGATCAGAGGAAATCCACCACAGGATGCTTCAGCTAAATGCTTTTGTTCTGTTTTCTGTCATGCCTGTTGACAGCCCCCAGTGGCTAACTATAGAATCACAGCCGTTTAAAGAAGGTCTTTCTAGATGGCATTTTGTTACTTTTTAAAACATAGAAATTTACTTCACACACATATATATATATATAAAAAAAAAGTCCAGAAGCTGGTTTGGCAACTTCAAGGTCACCCGGGACCAGGCTTTCATTTTCTGATTCATGATCCTCATTGTGATTTCCTTCTCAAGGTCATCTTGTAGTCCAAGATGATTGCTAGAGCTCCACCCTTTACATCTTTATTCCAGTTGATGGAAAGAAGAAAAGGAAGGCACACAAAGATGCCTCTCCCAGCTAAGTCACATGCCTTTAAGCTGCGTTTCCTGCAAATTTACACATTTTCTCTTCATATGTATCATTGGCTAGTATTTTTTCCAGCTTTATTGAGGTATATTTGACAAATAAAAGTTATATATATATATATATATTGAAGGTGGGGAAGATAGTGTTTATATATGTGTGTATATATATTCAGATACATATATATATATATATATGAATGATTACCACAATCAAGCTAAGTAACAAATCCATCACCTCACAATTACCATTTGTGACTTCGCGTGTGCGTGTATGTGTGGTGAGACATTTAAGATCTACTATCTCTGCAAAATTCAAATATACAGTGCAGTATTATTAACTATAGTTACTATGCTGTACCTTAGATCTCCAAAACTTATACATCCTGCATAATTGAAACTTTGTACGCTTTAACCTACTATATGTTCCAGCAATCCCACTTCTGAATATATATCCAAAGGAAATGAAATTAGTATCTCAAGGAGATATATCTATAGTTCCACGTTTATTTTGGCATCATTCACCATAGCCAAGATATGGAAACAACCTAAGTGTCCATCAATGGATGAATACATACAGACCACAAGGAAATTGTCGTGTGTGTGTATATATATATATATATATATATATATATATATATATATAATGAAATATTATTCAGACTTGAGAAAAAAGAAAATCCTTTCATTTGCTACAACATGAATGAACCTGGAGGGCATTATGCTAAGTGAAATAAACAAGACACAGAAAGACAGATATTACATGTTCTCAGTTTTGTGGGGAACCTAAAACAGTCAAACTCATAGAAACAAAGAATGGAATAGAGGTTGGCAGGGATTGAAGATGGGGGAAATGGAGAGATGTGGGTGAATTAGCTATCGGGTTTATTGCAGGTGGATCAAAAGAGCCATGGCACTTTTCTGACTGAGGCAAAGATAAGAAGGTTTCAGAAGCCAGGAGCCCAACTCTGTTCTGTAATGTTCATGTGGAGACTAGTGTGGCCACTCACGCATGTGGTTTCATGCAACTTCTAAAGATGATGTATTAGAAGGGAGAGCAGAGAAAGGTCATTGAGTTTTATATCTGTCATCCAGTTGGGTGTTATATTTTACATTCTTCACAATAACACAAAGATCATACCTGTGAGGTCATCATTTCCTCCAAACAAACTTGAGGGGCATTGAGATGTGTGGTTTCCACTTTTATCCTTTTCCTCATGCAGCTTGAGAATACCATAGAGGACAACCATCATTCAGTAGAATAGGGAAATTATACATTGTCACTTTTTTAAAACAGGGCCATGTCATAAGAGATCATCGGGAAGCTGCTTTGATTTTTTAGCCATTTAAATCTTCCCACAGCTTGTAAATGGTTTTCCTTTCACCATCTCACCTTGGACAGCACCTCCTCAGACAGACCATCCCTGCACCCCAGCACATGCACTGCCACTCCATCTATTACATCATCCTCTTTCATTTCCTTCAGTGCACTTACTGCAAGTGAGTTATCTTTACTTATTAACTACATGTAGTCCATCCCCCCCATGGTCCCACCCACCAGCAGAACATGAGCCCCCCAAGGACACCGTTATCCCTAGCTGTCTGGTCTACCACTCCATTGCCTGGCTCTGTGCTGACCCTGGACTTGAGGATCAAAAAACATTTGTACAATGAATAAATAAAAACACTTACAAATTCAATAACTTATGTGTAAAACTCTTTTTCTTGTGAAATAAATTTTACTAGTGTTAAACACCCCTCTCTGCTCCTGTTGCTCTTTTGAAAGGGGAAGTCTGATGTTCCTGGTTATGAAAAGACAATCTAATTCTTGGCCTGAGCCGACAACTCTTGCTGAAGCGCCCTGACTCTGGATTTTTTAGTTATTTGGTAGGGAATGACAAGTGGAAGCTCTGACTGGTGTTCAACCTTTTGCAAATTCTGAGCAGAAATAATTTATATGAGTAGGGCATTTTTTTCTGTTCACATGCGAAATCTTAAAGATCTGCATCAATAGTTGATATGATGTGACTTAAATTATACATGAAGCCCTGCAATTCTAAATGACTGCTCCAGCTCCTCCTTCCCTGCCTCTGAAGACTTTTTCTTTCTTCTTCAGACCCAGCGAACTCAGCCCCATCCATACTGGATGGGTTTGATCATCGCAAAGCCATGGCGGGGCAGCGTGTGGAGCTGCCTTGCAAAGCGCTTGGGCACCCTGAGCCAGATTACCGCTGGCTGAAGGACAACATGCCTCTGGAACTTTCAGGAAGGTTCCAGAAGACCGTGACGGGGCTACTCATTGAGAACACTCGCCCCTCAGACTCAGGCAGCTATGTATGCGAAGTGTCCAACAGATATGGAACTGCCAAGGTGATAGGCCGCCTGTACGTGAAACGTAAGTTGGACGGTAACTTGCAGAGGTGGTGTGGCTGTCGTTGATGGCACTCTGGGCTTTCTCTGTAGCCTTCCATGAAGCCTTGCAACAGTCCTGTGGAAATCAATAGTAGCCCCATTTTGCAGATGAGGAAATTAATGCTCAGACGAATTGCCTAAGGTTACACAACTAGAGAATATTGGGTGCAGGATTTGAATTCAGGTCTGTCTGATCCCCAAACCTTTGAGATTTTCTATAGATCAGAGGACTACTACATTTCCAGAATGCATTTCCAAGATAACATCACCTGGCTGTTGAATTCAGAATGGCCAGCCTCTCTGAAGATAGACAGAGCGGGAGGGCAGAATTGTTCTTTCAGCACAAGTGATGCCAGCCAATTGAAGTGGTTGTCCTTGGCCTGTTTCCAGATGCTTCTTTAAATGCCTAAATGGGGCTATTATAAACAGAAATACAGGGCTCTAAATTATCTATATATTGGACTTGGACTCAGTACTATAGATCATTTAGCCCAAGTATGATGGATGCATTTCATCTTTAATTGACCGTGGTGGCCGTCTTGAGGACGGTGTTGAGAAGTATCCTGAGGCAGACTTAGAAGAGGCAGGGAGATGATTGCAGGGAGCTTTCTAAACTAGTCTAACACCCTCAGTTTTACACATGTGGAAACCAAGGTCACATGGCCAGAGTGGGGTGGCAGGGCCTTGGTCAGGCAGGATGTCTCTTAGTGTCCAACATAATGCTCCTTTCATTTTTTAACACATGTATTTTTTTTCATTATTATTATTTGATGAGTTTAACTGAACAAACAGCCATAAAGATCTCACACTGAAAAGGGAGGCATCTTCTTAACCTGTTTTTTTCCCAGCCCTGTTTATGGAGCTGTCTCTTCAGTGTCAACCCCTGTGTAGACTGCCTTAGCTCAACACCAGCCTAAGTGAATACACTTAAGTTAAATATTAGAATGATTAGCTGGAACCAGCAGTCCAGACCGAGCCCTGCAACTATTATTCAAACATGCATAGGCTGGGATTAGAAGAAAATGGAAGATAATGTGTGCACAGTTATAGTTCTGTAGCTGAAGAATCACGCAGACGAAATAACACAGCATTGGACAGCCAGTAGGAACTATTCTTACAGGCTTAAAATCTTTTCTTTGTTAAAGCACCTTTCGTGGCTCCCTACTTTCTGTTGAATAAAGACCACATCTTAGGATAGTATCCAAGGCATCTCAGGCAAACCTGTCTGATCATATTTTCCATTGTTTTGCTTCAAAAAAACAATCCTTCCTCCTGTTAAATCTAGCTTCTGCCTAATCCCTGTGCAAAGCCATTCCTTTTCTGACTGTAAGTCACATTGCTTCATGTTGCTCCTCCCACAAGGAAAGTTATTTACTAACATTTACTAAAACGTCCCATCTTTCTTAGACCAATGTAATGCTACAACCCCAAAGACATGTCTCCTGTTCCCCTCCTGTCTTCTGTTCAAATCGCGGAGTATTTCTTTTGCTTTTTCTCTAAAGCTATTTATCACTATCTACATTTTAAAAAAAAATTTTATTCATTATATATATATATATCTGTGGGGTACAGAATCAAATATCTATAACTATCTGCATTCTAAAAGTTATTTGGGAAAAAGTCTTAATTTCGACTGTGCTTCTTTTCACAATTGTAATCTTCTGCCACATCTAGGCAAGTTCTCAAATGTTTCTTGAATGTTCTCTTCCTCCCTTCTGACTGCTTCTTCTGACAGAAGAAAACTGCTTCCTCGACCCTGTCTCTCTTCTCTAGACAGAAAGCACTCTCTTGGGTCCAATGTTCAGAGCCCTCTTCTCTTTCCTCTTGGGACTCTCTTTCATTCATATGGCTTCAAATTCCTCCTCTCTGGAAAAAACCTCTGAATCTGTATGTTTCGCTGCAGCTTCCTTCCTGTCAGACAAGTATGCCTCCCAGTTTTATATCAGATGTTCAGCAGGAACTTTAAAAGAACAGTGAAGATACCAAACTGAGGGCCGAATCCGTGGCTCACTTGGAAGAGTGCAGCGGTGGGAGTGCAGTGGCACGGGGAGCGCCCGAGGCTGCAGGTTCGGATCCTATATAGGGATGGCCGGTGTGCTCACTGGCTGAGCGTGGTGTGGGCAACATCAAGCCAAGGGTTTCGATCCCCTTACCGGTAAAAAAAAAAAAAAAAAAAAAGCAAAAAAAAAGAAGATACCAAACTGAACTCTCCACTATCTCTACCTTCCATATGGCCCTTATTATTAGAAACATCCCCTGAACCCCACCCACCCCAGGTGCAAACTTTAAGTCTCAGGTCCTCTTTGAGCCTTCTTTTCCATGTCTACTTCCTGCCGAGTCCTCAAGATTGACCTCCCAGCTTCTCAGCAATGTTCTCCGCCTTGACCCTGTCCTAGATTGGGTCTTAATTTCACCTCCACTAGACATCTGCTATCAGTTTCCTCACTGTAATTTGTCAAAGACCATATGAACAACCAATTCTCCTAAAAAGATGTTCGACAATGACACTCACTTGCCAAGCATTCTTGAATGCTTTCTTTATCTCTCTGATCTAATTTCAAAATCTCACAGCCTTTACAGTCTTGTCCCAGACTGCTTTTGCAGTTTTCCTCCCACTTTTCATCTTCAGGGACCCTCTACTGCATCTGAACTGAATCAGAAACTCTTCCTCAGACACGCCTGGGTTTCATGCCTTAATGCATGTGGTTCTCTCTGCAGTGCCCTTTCTCTGTTCCAGATGGCTTCAGTTCTGTCCATCCTTAATCTCCAAAACCTTTCTGGTCTTCCTATCAATCCTCCCCCATATGTGCCATGTCTCTAATGTCCCTTAACATCATTCTGCTTTATAACTGTAGTCATGTTTGTATTTTTCTTGTCAATCTAAAAGACTGAGCAGTGAGCTGAGAAGTCAGGGACAACTGGGGTAAGAAAAAAAAAAAAAAAAAAAACCTCTTTTTTGGATTTTTTTGACATTTACCTGTTGAGTCGGTTGGCTCATGTTACTTAATCTCTCTGAATAATCATTTCCTCTTCTGTAATATGAAGATGATAACACAAAACTTACAGAATATGGGAAGACTGACTTGAATAATGCATGAAAAATGTTTGGTAATTTTATGGCACATACTAATTGTACCATAAATATTATTCATCTTTGTCTCACCTGTGAGTTTAATACCATCCTTGGCACACAGTAGATGCTCAGTAAATGCTTTCTACATTGAATTAGGTTGATTGAATTGAAAACGGAGAAAGTCAAGAATGGAAATTTCATTCCTGTCCAAGCCAGCCTCATTTTAGAGAGAAACTCTGTTTCGTGATCACAAATCCTAACATCAGCCTATCTGTTCACAGCCGTGTGTTATTGACCCTGGTTAGGCCCCACAGGGCATGTGCATGTGAGTACAGCCCAAGTCAAACCCATCAGTCCCACCTTGGGATGGCAAATAGGATTTATATATTCAAATACTTGTGTCCCTACTGGTAACCAGCACACTGCATTTCTCATTGTCAGTGGATTAATACCATCATCCACATGTGCAGTCAGGGACAAAGCAGTTTGACCAACATTATTCTATTTTTTACATACAGAAAGGTCAGATACAAAAATAGCAAAGATGGTGTTCCCAAAGTGGCACACTGTAAAATAACACTAAATGTAAGAACTGTATGGAGCGCTTTGCAGGAATGTTTGCTTTGTCAAAAGCCCAGCATGTTGTTGTAATGATGTCTGCATATGTGATGCTTTTTACCTTCTTTTTCTCTCTTACCCAAATCTCCAGAGCCACTGAAAGCCACCATCAGTCCCAGGAAGGTTAAAAGCAGCGTGGGTAGCCAGGTTTCCTTGTCCTGCAGCGTGACAGGAACTGAGGACCAGGAACTCTCCTGGTACCGAAATGGTGAAATACTCAACCCTGGAAAAAATGTGAGGATCACAGGGATCAACCATGAAAACCTTATAATGGATCACATGGTCAGAAGTGACGGGGGCGCGTACCAGTGCTTTGTGCGGAAGGACAAGCTGTCCGCTCAAGACTATGTACAGGTGGTCCTCGAAGGTCAGTGGGCCTCGTTACAGGGTACAGCTGAAAAGAACCCACCCCCAGAGCACTCAGAAAAGAAGAATAAAGGCTGACACAGAGCTGAGAACTCAGATTTAAGATCTCTGTCTATCTCACCAGATAATAACCCCACCCCAGTTTTTCAAGCTAAATCAGGCAAATCAGAAAGTTCTCATGAGACTGAAATTGTATTATATTAGAAATAACATAAAGCTAAGTAACATGAGTATTTCCCACTCATGTGTTTAGTTACTTGTCAAGATAGAGGCCTTAGAAACTTGAAACTTACAGTGGTATTGACAATTTATTATCCTCTAGACAAAGGTTTCTCAATAATGCCTTTGGGGGGGGGGGCTGTTTTATGCATTGTAGGATTTTAGCAACATCTCTGGCCTCTACCCACTAGATGCTGGTAACACTTCCTCCAAGTTGTGACAACCAATAATGTCTCCAGACATTGCCAAATGTTCCCTGGGGGTGGAGAATAGTACCCAGTGAGAAGAACAACTCTAGAGACAAAGTGCAGAGCAAAATTTCAATATAGGCTTGGCAGAGTGAAAAAAATAGCATCTGGTCGGTACATGAGTTGTGTCCAAATGTTTAAAGATTCAGGTGAATGGAATTTGCAAGGAATTACTTTGTGGTATAATATCGGGTGTTAGGTATGTTATAATGTTTACTCTTCTTAACTGGCTACTGCGTACTTACATCATCAAACTTACCAACCAACCAGGGAGAGAAGCTATCACAGGTAATACTTAAATAAGATATACATTTACCACCATGTAACTCAACTAGCTTCTCTCTGTATATTACATGACTTGTTGGAAATAATTTAAAATTCATCTGTTATCAATTGATTAAAATAATGACATGATTTTTATATAGCCAAAGAGAACAACAAATGAAATCCATTTCTGTATGAAAATAAGTTTAAATTTGTCTTGATAAGAGGATATTTCTGTTATTGCTTTTTTTACCTTTAGCTAATTTTTAAGAAGAAGCAGGCTTAGTAATGATATTCCTACTTTGATTCAAGCATTTTATTGCAGACAATGAGTTTTTAAAGGAGAGGGGAAATTAGCTGAAGCCTCGGTACTCATGCTAAATGCCTGACACTGGGTTCCACATAATAATTAAGTGCAGAAAGTAAGCAATTTGTACAGAGCCAGTTTGCGGATGTGTAGTCCTTATATAGTCACTATTTTTAGAGTCTTTGTAACAAAAGGAGAAATTACCTAGTTACCTCGGCAACCATTTCTCGTGACCGAGAAAACCTAAAGAGCATATTGATAATCCATAATGATGTCGAAAGAGTTCGGGTTATCAGGGACTGACAGTAAGAAAGATTTCAAAGACACTCAGGTCTCCCTAGGAAAATAGTGTCCGCTTTCATCTCCAGAAAGGCCTGTCACTTGAACAAAAAGGGGGCAAAGGAGCACGCAGAGCCCATGCATGGGTTTATTTGTCACATGTCGGTTTCCATTCAGGACAAGAAGCTTCACTTTATTTTTTCTCTTCTGAGAGATGACAGTGCTAATGTAACAAAAGAGAGCAGAAACGGAACTATAGAGCATAGCTAGGAGCTGCTTTAAAATGGTGTCTAACTAGTCTCCTCTGAGAAAGCCTGCTGTTATTCCCACTGAAATTGCTATGAATTAAAATAAAATTATGAGAACTCACAGTTCTGTAAATTAGGAATGACCATTGATACAATGGAGAATCTGGGAATGCCTCCCATGAGGCTAAAAAATGGAATCTAATAATTACAGGTTCAATATAAAACTAGAATAACTGGAAATGGAATAATAAAAGAAGAATAATCACAGGTTCCAGACTGGAAATGGTAAAATAGAATGCATTGGACTTACCCCAAAACAGATAAAAGTTAGAACTTTGGGAAAAGCAAAAGTATATGTAGATTCTGGAAAGATGCCCAAAGTAGGAAGAAAAGATTTGACCATTCAAAGAAGGGAAAAGGATTAGATAATATCTACACTGATACCACTTTTACCCTGAGGACACTCCCTAGTCCATGTGGGGTAGGGGAGAAGACCTAGAAGAAAAGCAGAGAGCTTCAGGCTTATGCAATTAAGGTGTCTGGACTGCTAAAACATCTGCAAAGGGGTGGGGGGTGGGGTGTGTGGAAGTTCCAGGAAAGAAGGAATACCAATAGAGAGTCCCCAAACCTCCAAATAAACTTCTTTGGAAAATTTGGTTGACACCTGAACTGCAAAAATATAGGTCAGGATCCAAGTCTGCAATGAAAAACAAACAAACAAACAAACAAAAAACTAGATACACAGAGAACAAGCAAACAGAACACTGTGAGCAAACGACAAAAGAGAAAGCAGGTAATAGAAAGAGAACCCAGAGAGGCCCCAGCTGTTAGAATTAGCAAACAAAGAGATTAAAGCTGCTATTTAAAATATGTTCAATAACTTAAAGGAAAATATGGACAGAATGAGTGAACACAGGGAAGAGAGATCAGCAGAGAATGGAAACTATAAAGAGCAATCAATAGAAATGAAAAAAACTCACCATATTTGTTTTATGGCAAGATTGGAGAAAGAAGAAGAAAGGATTAGTGAACTTGAAGATGGATTAAAAGAAACTATCCAATCTGAAGCATGGAGAGAAAGAAGACTGCAAAGAAAATGATTAGAATGGACTGGCTGGGTACATCAGTTGGTTGGAGCATGGTGCTGATAACACTAAGTTCCAGGGTTTGACTTCTGTACAAAAAACAAAACAAAACTAACCAAGCAATGAACAAAAATCACAAATACAGGAATGGACCTAGCAAAATAAATAGATAAATAAAGGAAATGATCAGAGCCTTGGTGACAAGTGGGACCCGACATATGTATAATTAGAGGCCAGAAAAATAGGAGACAGAAAACAAGGAAGAAAAAAATATTTCAAAAAGTAATGGCCACAATTTTCTCAAATTTGGCATAAAAAAATAAAGTGACATATCCAGGAAACTCAGCAAACTCCAAGAATAAATACAAAGAAAATGACATGCAGGTTCATCAGTGTCAAGCTGCCAAAAAACCAAGATAAAGAGAAAATCTTGTAAATCTGAGGGAGGAAAAATATTACATAAAAGGAATATTAATACAAATGATGAATGACTTATTATCAGATATTTTAGAAGACGGAAGACATGGAGCAACATTTTAAAACTGTAGGAAAGAAAATAAAAAACAAAAAAAACCCCCATCTGCCAATCTAGACATCTATAGCAAAAATAGTCTTTAAAAATGAAGGCAAAATAAAACTATTTTCAGTAAACAAAAGGCGAGAGAATGTGATGTTAGAAGAACTATACATTAATAATGCAGGGAGAAGGAAGTGACATAAAATGGAAATGCAGAGACATAGAAACAAAGAGCATGAGAAATGGTAAATATGTCAGTAAAAATTTAGCAAAATTATTTTTCTCTTTTAATTCTTTAAACAACAATTGACAAATTATAAAATTGTACCAGTTATTATAGAGTTCACAACATAAATAGATGTAAAAACACAAAGTACAGAATATAATTTAAAAGATTTTAAGTTATTTGTTACAAGGTTCTTACATTTCGCAAAAAGTATTGCAATTTTAACTTTCAGTAGATGTGATTAAACACACACACACACATATACGTATATGCACAAAGATATATATCGATGTGTGTATGTATATCCTTATATCCTATAAGTGCAAGATTGGCAGCACAAAAACTAATCTATACGTCACTATATTAATAAAATAAAGGAGAAAGACAAATTGATCATCTCAATGTATCTAGAAAAAATCATTTGACAAAATTCAACATCTGTATGGAATAAAAATCCCCCAATAAACTAGGAATATAGGTACATTTCTTGACCTGATTAGTGGCATCTATGAAAAATCTACAGCTAAAATCATACTTAATGGTTAAACACTAAATGTTCTTCATTTAAGATTAAAACAAGGCAAAGATGTTCACACCCACCACTTCTACCTCACATTATACTAGAAGTCCTAGACAGACATAAATAGAAAATAAAATGCATAAAGTTTGAAAAAGAAAAATTTCAGCTATCTTTAATCACAGGCGTTGTTACAGAGAAAATTCCATGAAGACTATAAAACAATTCCTGTAAGTGGTTTTAAAAAAGTCATAGGATACAAGAACAATATACAAAATATGATTTTATTTCTATATAGTAGGAATAAACAATTGGAAAATAGTATTTTGAATTTTTCATTTACAATAGCATGAAACATAAGATACTTAGGAATGAATTTCACACAGATGTGAAAGATTTCAACACATAAAACTACAAAACACTGCTAATATAAAACTGAGATGACCTAGAAATTAGAAGGATATACCACATTCAGGGATTAGAAATCTAAATATTCTTAAATTAACAATTCTCTCTAAAGTGATCAGTGTAATCCCAATCAAAATCCCAGAGCCTATATAGATTGATTTTTTAAATTTATATGTAAAAGAGGAAGTCTTATAGTCTAAGTTGATTTAAAATATGTATATGGAAAAGTAAATAACTGAGAACGACCTGCACTCCGATGTTCATTGCAGCTCTGTTTACAACAGCCAAGACATTGAACCAACCTAAAGGTCCATAGATGGATGATTGGATAAGGAAACTGTGGTATATATACACCACGGAATACTACTCTGTCATAAAAAAGAATGAAATACTCCCATTTGCAACAACATGGATGAGCCTGGAGAAACTTATGTTGAGTTGAAATAAGCAAAGAACAGAGGGATACCACATGTACTCACTCATATGTGGGAGCTAAGAGAGAAAGAAGTGAGCTAAGAGAGAAAGGAAGAAAGGAAAGAAAGACCACAGTAGTGCATTGGACTTGCAGGGGGAGAGAACATTCCTTGGGCTACAAAGTGGAGTGGGGGGACAGGGGAGGGGGAGGGAGGTTGGGGAAAATTGGGTGGGGGACATGGGGTACAAATGCAATTTGTGGTAATGGATTCATTCTCAGTATGAATCTGGCCCCCACATCATGGGTATGAGGGGTGACAATCAGCTTGTATATCATAAATATTCATAACCAATAAAAAAATCAAACAATTGTGAAAAAGAACAAAGTTGGAAGATTCTTACTACTGGGTTTGAAGAGTTACCATAAAGCTATACTAAACAAGATAGATATATAGCTCAATGGAACACATAGATGGTCCAGAAATATGCTCACACATTCATAATAAACTGATTTTCAAAAGAACACAGAATATTGAATAGTTAAAAGAAAGTCTTCCCAATAAAGAGTACTGAAATAACTCAAAAAATGTATGACAAAAAGTGAATATCAATTTCTATCTAACATCTCATACCGTACACAAAAATTAATTTGACATAACTTACAGACCTGAGTGTAAAATATAAAGTTATAAAGTCTCTAAAAGGAAACACACAAGAATTCTTCATGATTTGAGGGTAGTCAAAGATTTCTTAGAACACAGACAGCACCAAATGTGAAAGACAAAGACATCATTAGGACAATGAAAAGACAACCACAGACAAGAAGAAAATACTTTATACATACACACACACAAATATATAATATGTACCATAGATGTGTCTGACAGATATTTTATAATATATAGGATACCTGAGAAATACAAATACATGAGTATCTGACTATTATAAGATATATTCTTGTATTTCACGAAGAACTCCTACAAGTTAATAACAAAAAGGCAAACAGTCTAATGTAAAAATGGATAAATGATTTGAGCATATGTTTCAAAAAAGAAATACACAAATGGCTTCCAACTATGGAAAAAAAATGCACAATCTGCACCTAATCATGAGGAAATAGAAGACAAATCCAATTTGAGCAACTGACTACAAAAGAGCTCTTCAAAATTATCAAACTCAAGAAACATGAAAGAGATCAAAGAATGTTCCAGATTAAAAGAAACTCAAGAGACATGACAAATAAATGTAATGTGGGATGGTGATTTGACTGGAGGAAAATAGCTGTAAGAAACACTGTTGGTCAACTGGCAGAATTTCAATGTGGGCTGTGCATTAGATAATGGTCCTATTCCAAAGTTACATTTTCTAATTTTATTAACTGCACTGTGGCTACGATAGAGCACACACGTATAAGAGTACATGCTGTCTTGTTACATTTATCTGAAGTTCAAAGAACAGACAACATGAACACATGGAGACAGAAATCAGAACAGTGAATACCTCCGGAGGGTGGAAATGATTAGGGAACTTTGGGGGGCGTCAAAGATGTTTCATATTTGATGGTTTGGCTGGTTACACAGGTATATATATGTGACAGACTCATCTGTACACTTGAGATGTGTACATTTCACTGACTGTAAACTTTACCTGCACACAAAAAGGATAACTGAAGAAGACTTTCCCAAACAGATAAAACACTGAGTTTGCAGTGTCAAAATCAGTGTTTAGTGTCGAAATCAGTGCAGAGAAATTCACAGTGAAAAACATCTCACAGAAGCAGTGGAATTATAAGGACAAATAAAATAACCTCAGCATCCCCCAGCATTGATGATCAGTCCTGTACAAAGAATAACAATCATGGTGACATCTAACTTCTCTGTAAAATTAAACACACAGCACCATGAAGCCATGTCTGCCGTGAATTAAAGACAATTGCTCAGATTTTTCGTTTAGATATTTTGAAGCTCCTTTTTTATCTCTGATAATAAAAGGAAAATGTAGTCCAAGGACACTGCAATATGCCACTTATGAATGCATCTGGGAAAATCATACAGAACTTGGGGGCCTTCTCCAGCCATCTGAACCATGAGTTGGAATAGATGACAGGATCAAGGAATTTGGGAATGAAGAGATGGTAGAGGGGTAGGGAAGCACTCCAAGCACAGCCCCACCATCACAAGGACCCTACACAGCCAGTAGCACTGACCACAGAACCAGGCCTCCAGGTTTTTGGGGTGATGAGTGACACTTTCCTCAGGGGCATTTGGAACTATGAATTATCTTTCTCTGATGGAATTACAAGGTGTCCTCAATTTCCCCCCCTTCCTTTTATCTGTACTTTTCAATTTTTCAACAGTGAATATGTATAACTTCTATAATAAAAATTAAAAATGAAAAAAGATAATATCTATTAACTATTATCTTTTATTATGGAACAAACCCTCTAACTGAACACAAAAACTCTTTAAAAAAAAAAAAAGTCCCCTCTAGCAAGGTTTATTACCAGACTCAGAAATCCTGTTGCATGTGATCACAGTGATGTCACAGTGACCCACTTATGCCTAGAATAACAGTGTCACGATGTTGATTTGTATGCCTGAGGCTGGTAGGCCTACTGGTAACTTCTTTTGACTTTCATACATTTTCTTTAATATGCATGTATCTCTCTCTCTCTCTCTCAGTGAAAACGAATATAAAAAAAGAAACATGCATTTGTGATTACTGCAACATAATAGATGGAAGTAGTTAATATACATGACAGTTGCCCCCCTCCAAAAAAATTAAAAAATAAAAATAAAGAAATGTAAAAATTTGATCTTTGTTAAACATATCAAAAGTTCCTACAGAAAATTCTCCAAGATTAAGATCCTAGTTTGCCTGGGACAGTTCTGGGTCATGTGTGTTCTCTTGGCATAATTGTTAGCAGTGCCTGTTACACTCTCAGAAGTGTCACAAGTTGGATGACAAATTATGTGGCTACCCTACTTAAAATACTTTTAGAGATACATAATACATGCCAGAAGGTTCAAACTTTATTTAGTTTCTACCCATTCTCAGGGACCTCATGGAAATTTACATGCAATTACTATTTGTAATTGAAACTATAAAAGATTATTTCTTATGAGAAAATAGTAAAGATGAGATAGTTTCTCAGTAGTTTCCTTTATTCCTCTAAACAATTCCCTAGTGAAAAGTTCCTGAATAACCTGAGACAAGTGGAAAGCTAAAAAGACTGTTTGGGGGTTTGTGGATTTTCTCTGTTTATTACTCTGGGTAGGATTACTAGTGTTGAATTGGAGACATCTTAGAAGCTGTCGTCATTCAACCAGAATATCCGGTTTGCATTATTGTTCCTTTTCGTAAGTCAATCAGGAAATACATAAGTGATTTATTAAAGTTTGCTAAGGCAGTGCTTACCTGTTTTGAAAACAGTAGAATCTTGTTCTGATTGGGATTTTGCTTTATCAGTAGAGCCAGACCTTTTATAGTAGTGTTTAACAACCACTACATCTCCTTCCTACCGATTAAATAAATGCGCTTGGAAGCTGTTTAATTATTTATATATGCCACTTCCTTCCATCATTTGTCTTCCTGCAGATGGAACTCCCAAAATCATTTCTGCCTTTAGTGAAAAAGTGGTGAGCCCGGCAGAACCGGTTTCCCTTATGTGCAACGTGAAGGGAACCCCCTTGCCCACGATCACGTGGACCCTGGACGACGACCCAATTCTCAAGGGCGGCAGTCACCGCATCAGCCAGATGATCACGTCGGAGGGGAACGTGGTCAGCTACCTGAACATCTCCAGCTCTCAGGTCCGGGACGGTGGCGTCTACCGCTGCACTGCCAACAACTCGGCGGGAGTCGTCCTGTACCAGGCTCGAATAAACGTAAGAGGTGCTTGTCAAATCAGCTCCTCAAAAAACACACATAACTCATTGGAGTGGAGAAGCAGGTTTCTGCATGCACCGAGCCGAGTCTTGGAATGCCAGAATGGATTAACTGTTGCTTCCCATTTCCTACCCTTCCCTTCCTACTCAGGAACGGCACCAGTTGGGTTAATGTTGGAAACGACATTTTGGTTTCTCTAGTCAGCCTGATCTCTTGTTTTACTCTTGGATCCGTCCACTGGATCTTTCCTTTCCTGGTTTATGCTTTGCATGCTCTCTCCTTTCTCCTTTTCTTCCGTTTCACTGCATTCATGATAAACCTTCATGTACATGGTACTTACCTTACATGCATAGTGCAACATGGCTTAACCCCATCTTCACAACACATTTTATAGAGTTAAACAATCGATCAATTGCTACCCGTGCTCTCACAAAAAGAGCACGACTGTTCAGTGTAGACTAGTTACTTTTTATTGATTAAATTCCCTTAATCTTGCAATTCAAAACATTTTAATAAAAGTAACAGATAACTAAAGTATTTAACACTCATCTGATTCACATGAAAGTAAATGAAATTCAATGGAACTAAAAAGAAATAAAAACAAAACAAAACCCGTCCTGGTAGTAAATGCCAAATGCATAAAATATTGTTTAATTGAAAAAGATGTGCTTACATGAAAATAATCTACATTTTTAACTCAAAGAAAAGTGTACCTGTTTCCCCACATGAGATGTACCCTTAAATTATTTTCAAGAGTTTCTTCGTGTCTCTCCAGGGCCTGCCAGCATTCGACCAATGAAAAATATCACAGCAATAGCGGGGCGGGACACATACATTCACTGTCGTGTGATTGGCTACCCGTATTACTCCATCAAATGGTACAAGAACTCTAATCTGCTTCCTTTTAACCACCGGCAAGTGGCATTTGAGAACAATGGAACTCTGAAACTCTCGGACGTGCAAAAGGAAGTGGACGAGGGAGAGTACACGTGCAACGTGTTGGTCCAACCACAACTCTCCACCAGCCAGAGCGTCCACGTGACAGTGAAAGGTAACCTCTGCTTCCCCACCCCCATCCCACCACCTCCCCACACAAGTATGTGGTGCTGCTGTTTCACCAGACCAATGATTAGGAGTGGAGTAATCTGAGAATCTGCATAGTTAGAGCAGGATAGTTGTACAGACTGAAGAGTGACAGGGCACATTCGATGCTCTCTTTACACCTGGATCTTCACAAGACCTGTAGTTGATGTAATTTTCCCTCCATGTGAATTTTTGGCTTGGTTTTCCAAAGGACATGTGTTGTTAATGTTACCATAGGGGGGCGGGGGGGGGGAATCATTGGC